GAACTTCATCCTCTGAGCCCCCTACCAGCTCTCCATCGGCAGATCACCCAGCAACAGCGACAAGTCTTCTTGCAAGGGAAGACGATTCGGCAGCCCCGGCGACTACAACAGCTCAACAGAGGCCAACGGAACCCCCTATTGAGGCACAGATGAGCGTCATACAGCCGGAGGATGCTTGTGACCAACGGAATCAGCCGATCACGCGAGCAAGACCACTACGCATCCCACGACTAACAGCAGAGGCCTACGCAAGATTAAAAGACAAACTAGAGGAGCTTGCGAAAGCTACAACAGCCCAAGTCGTGGAGGGCACGTGGGAGGAAGTGGAGGCCGCAACAACTGCCTTCACAGCACAAATATATGACGCAGTTTGGTTTGCCAACAAACAACACCCAGCAGCAAATCAGCAGAGCTCGAGGAAGCCAGCATCAACAAACAGCCAACAGAAGGAATCACGAAAGGCGCGCGTTCCCCCACGACTGGCGCAGGCACAAGACAACGTCAAGAAGGCGTTGCTTGCTCTTCGTGAGGAAGAGAAAGCACAGCAGGGGCGCAACAAAGCTCCAGAGTCGCTTGATGATAAACTGAAGAGGAGGGCTCTGGAGAGAAAACTCCGTACAGCGCGTCGCCACCTCATCAGCGTCCTACAGGAGGAGTCGGCGCAACAGCTCCAAACACTATATCAAACAGACCGAAGGAAGTGTGTGGAGCAAATCCTAGCCGACGAAGATCAACCAAGGAGCCAAGACTGTCCTATTCCACTCAGTGAGCTGGAAACACACTTTAAGCATCAACACTCTGAGCAATCTATCGACACACACTCACAAGTTGCTCATGAGTTCCTAGAACCTTTGGCTGCAGCTCCTGACGGGGCTAAGCGGATTGATCTTAACTTCACCGAAGAGGATGTGCGTGCTCAGCTGCGAAAAAGCAATCATATGTCTGCAGCAGGGCCGGATGGGATAGGGTTCTTTGTGTACAAGCGGTTTGAAGATGTGCTTGTTCCAGCAATGACTGCGATATACAACGCTTGTTCCCAGCATCGCAAAGTGCCAGTGAAGTGGAAGCAGAGCGTGACGGTATTGATCCCGAAAGGTGGAGACCCAACGAATGTCAAAAACTGGCGACCGATCAACTTGCAGGACTGCATATACAAAATCTACGCAGCTATGTGGGCCAGCAGGATCACCGACTGGGCAATCCAGTCGGGAGTCGCCTCAAAGTCGCA